TTGAATAATAAAATCTATGCCTAAAACATAACCTAAAAGAAAACAATCATGTCTGTGACTGATGAATCTTTGTGGGATCCAAAAGCTGAAGGCGAATGGGTCGAATCCAACAATGAGCAGGGGGACCGTTTCCCCGGACATGTAGAGAATACTAGAAAAAGAAGCGCGCTCCATACAACCCCATCAAGAGGAAACATAAACTATTAATTTGGGACAAGGAGACAATAAGAAAGAAATAAACATCGGTACCTAGATTGACAATGACATCAGGGAGAGGCTAATACACATTTTGAAAGAGTATGTGGATGTGTTTGTCTGGTCTTATCATGACATGCCTGGACTCCACACGAGTATAGTAGAGCATCTTTTTCCGTTAAAAGAGGGATTTTGGTCCATAAAACATAAGCTCAGAAGAGTTAAACCGGATTGTTCCGTAATGATCAAGGAGGAGGTGCAAAGACAGTTAGACACTAACTTCCTAATCGTATCCAAGTATCCTGAATGGTTGGCAAACATAGTGCCTGTCATCAAGAAGAGTGGAAAGATCATAGTATGTGTGGAATATAGGGACTTAAACCGGGCAAGTCCAAAGGACGATTTCCCCTTTATCACATATTGACACATTAGTGGATCACACCGCTATGAACACACTCTATTCTTTCATGGACGGATATGCGAGGTACAATCAAATTAAGTTGGTTGTCAAAGATAGAGAAAAGACATCCTTCATCACACCATGGGGGACATTTTGCTATAGGGTGATGCCTTTTGGGCTCAAAAACGCAGGGGCTACTTATCAAAGGACTATGGTAACATTATTCCACGACATGATACATAAAGAGATAGAAGTATACGTGGACGATATGATTGCCAAGTCCCGAAATGAGGTGGACCATATTCAATATCTCAAAAAGTTGTTCGATCGACTTCGAAAGTATCAACTTAAACTAAATCCAACAAAGTGTACTTTCGGAGTACGGTCATGAAAATTTCTAGGGTTCATCGTTAGTCAAAGGGGAATTGAGGTAGACCCCAACAAAACAAAGGCAATTCTAGAAATGCCTCCACCAAAGACAGAAAAATAGGTCAGAAGATTTTTGGGCCGAATAAACTATATTGCCAGGTTCATCACACAACTAACAGAAAAGTGTATACCCATCTTCAAGCTGTTGCGTAAGAATCAACCGACGGTGTGGAACGAAGAATGTCAACAAGCATTCGACAAGATCAAGATGTGCTTGACCAACCCACCGATATTGGTGCCACCCATTGAAGGGAAACCTCTGATATTATATTTATCAATACTCGAAGAATCCATGGGATGTGTGCTTGGTCAACAAGATGAAATAGGGAAAAAGGAGTGAGTCATATAATATCTCAGCAAAAAGTTCCTAGACTATGAGACCCGTTATACGCCATTCAAAAAAACATGTTGTGAATTGGTGTGGGCAACTCAACGTCTCCGACAATACATGGCTTGACATACAACATGGTTGGTTTCCAAAATGGACCCTGTCGCCGCCGTCCCGAAAGGGGGTAATGGCGGTCGGAGCGATGCGATGGTTTTTCGACTCTTTTATTTCTTTCATAATCGCGTTTTTTATTGGTTACAACACTTTTAGTTGTCCGATAACCGGGCTAACTTAAAGCGAGGTTTTCGAAAAGGTGTCTTTGGGTTGTCCGATAACCGGGCTAACCCTAGAGACTTATTTTTATGGGTTCTATGGAGTCGCCACCGACGTTTTTACCAGAAACACCAGAAAAGGGGTAAAAGAAGGCGTTGGTTTTCAAAAAACCAACTTTGGTCCGTAAAAAACCAGAGTTGGGTAAGGGAGTTAGTTACGTGTAAAGAGGGTATTAGCCCCTTTACGACGCCCCTTTCGGGTTCCCTATGACAGGCCGGCTTATTTTATTGGTAAATGAACTAGAAAATAATGCTTTTGCCCTTTTTATTTTGCGGTATTTAAAAATATGACTACATGGCCCTAATTTCTATTGTAGCATTTGTAATTAAAGCGGTAAGAGTAAGAAGAGAGAATTTTGCACCTTCGAAGCAAGCTTTTTGTATTAACTCTCAATAAAGTGGGTGCGTTTTGGCAGCCCTTCACTCTACAAAATCTCAGAAACTCCGGAAATGCCTCGGAGGGATTCTAAAGAAGATTTAGAACGCTCAGAATTCTACTAAAGACGCTCAGAAACTCCGAAAATGCCTCGGAGGGATTCTAGAGGGAGAAAATCTAGAGAGAAGGGAGAGCTAATGCTTGAGGTGTGTGGAAATGAGGGGGAGAGAGCCCCTATTTATAGGTTTTCGGGCCTGGCAGGGTCCAGAACGCCGTTCTCGTCTGACAGGGCCAGACCGCCGTCTGGACAGTCGGGAACGCCGTCTGGGCTTGCTGAAAGGGGCAGACCGCCGTCTGGACAGTCGGGAACGCCGTCTGCTCCTTCGCAGATGGCCAGACCGCCGTCTGGCTTGGCGAGACGGCATTCTCGCCTTTTTCGCGAGGTCAGACGGCGTTCTGGGCGTCCCAGACGGCGTTCTCGACCCTTAAAGGCGAGAAAACTTATTTCTATGCAGAAAACACCTCCTATCCTAGTATGGGAGCCTAATAGTCTCTCCTAATGGCTTGTTAGGCTTCGTCCATCTTCAAATAGTGGTCTTCTGGTCCTTTATTTGGAGGCCGGAAAGATTTGGGGTCTACAGCTGCCCCCTTTACCCGACTAATCGAGCATTGGCCTGTTGTGCCGGACGGATCGATAGGAAGGTAAAGGAGTTGACCCTCTTGCCCGGCTTGGTCCTTCGAGATCGTTCGCCCTTTGCGGCGGATGATCCTCCGGGGAAAAGATGTTGTGCCGTGCGCCTTCGGGATACTACTTCGACGTAGCCGATCCCTTTGGTTAACACATGGTAGAACCTCTGGATACCCCTTCTGACGGTGGCCGATCCTTCGGTTGATGGGTATAAACCCCCCATCAGGCTGGTAGTGTGCAGTCTGTTGTGTGGGACTGGATGGGTATGAACCCCCCATCAGGGTGGTAGTGTACAGTCCGTTGTGTGGGACTGGATGGGTATGACCCCCCATCAGGGTGGTAGCGGCGCAGTCCGTTGGTTACTCCACTGGGGACCGGATGGGTATGAACCCCCCCATCAGGGTGGTAGTTGCAGCTTCACTGGTGATCCAGGTGCAATCGTGTGCGTAATTTGATAGGTATAAACCCCCTATCAGGCTAGTACAGTCCTCAGTGTAGGACTGGCGGTGGTGGCGGCTTACAGTTCAGGTGGCCCATGCGCCGGCTCCTGGAGTGTCTTCTGTTTGGTAGATGAGTTTGGACTTCTGATGGTCGTCTGGGTTGCGTTGGGGACTCTTGTGTTTCATCCAGCTTCGTTGGTCGCTGGGGATTCTTTGTTTTTGACTCTTTTGGTAATTGCCTGACCCTTGCTGATCGGTCGGGTGGGTCTTGTTTGTTTGATCGACTTCTGTTTGGTAGTCGAAGTTTGGTGTGTTGGTTTGTCTTAATCCAGCCTTTTTCTCGCGGTTTTATCTCTTTTTTCTCACGAATTTGGATTTTGGCTTTTTATTTGAGTGCGTGCCTTTTTCTTTTTAAGCTCTTTTTTCTACGCTGGCTTTTTCAAAAGGGTGGCAAATGAGATATATGGAAATAAAATTTTTATTTATGAAAATTTTATTACAACTATTCTGGGTACAGATTTCTAAGGGCTATGCTCTGGAGACGACCCGGGGAAGTGCTGGTAGAAGTGATATCGGAGGTCCGCCTGCTCTCGGGCCTCCTCGCGGTACTCATGCTGGAATGTCGTCCATTCTTGCCGCATCACTTGTAGGTGTTGGTGCATCTCTTCCTGCCGGGCGTCGAAGGCGTCCTGCCTTTGAGACATCTGTCCTTGCCACACCGACAACTGGGAAAGCTGCTGGCCTAGATCGCTCATGTGGCGATGCATGCCCGCGTAGTCGTCGGTGTATGGCGATGGTTGTTGTTGTTGTTGCTGCTGCTGTTGCTGCTGGGACTCGGGAGGTGTGGGCATATCCTACATTGGCACAATCCCTTGAAGGTCCAGTGCGAAGTCCAATGTGGGATGTAGGGCCAACTGGGTTCCCCGACGAATCAGCATCCCCATGCTGACTAGGACCGAACCGTTGATGGGTTCGGGTCTTAGATTGGAGGCCAGTTCCTCCCTGCCGGGGCACCCCCATCTCTCTGCTAGAGGGGTGATTAGGGGAGCCATGAGGATGGCCCCTGCGGATCTGTGCCCGAAGTCCTTGAGGGCTCTCAGGAAGAAGTATCCGGGGTTGCAGCGCCGCCTCGGCTCATGCGGTAGAGCACAAAGAGGTCGAGAGGGACACCTTTCCCCGACTCTCCTTCCTCCCGTGGATGGTGCTTGCCGGCGGCTTGTGGCGGATGCGAAGTTACGGGGGCAGCGCGGAGCCCCTCATCGGCGTTGGCGGCATGGTGGCCCCCGTGAGATCCCGCCACATCTCGGAGGCAGTAAGGTTGGTGGGCTGTGAGCAGATAGCCTCACGGTAGCTCTGGGTGATGGTGTCCTCGGGCTTGACAAACCCGATGGCCATGTTGAATTCATCAAGGGTGGTCGTGTGATAGGTACCACCCATGAAATAAGTCACCATCCCGGTGGGTTGCAGGCCGGGACGGTGGAAGGGACCTCGGAATAGGAGACGGAGGCCAAAACTCGAGTACCGCCCGGGGGTACACGTGTACAGGTGGGGGTTGTAGCAGGAAGCCCCATCCGATGTTGTCGATGCGGGCCCGGACCTCATCTTCCCATCTGAACTCTGCCAGGATGTTGAAGTCCAGCATGAACATGGGGTGCCATTGATAGTTCTGGATATTATCCAGACGGGCTTGGTGTTGTGGCGTCAGTTGGGATGGATCCTGGGATGGTGGTGCCGCCGAACTACTTGCACCGGCGGTGTTTCTTCTCTTCCTGGGTGTGCTTCTGCTAAACATTCTGGCCCGGATGTGCTTAGGAGGAAAGAGATCAGAGAAATTGGAGTTCTGGAGGCAAGGAGAGTTGTGTGAAACCCCCTAGGCGCGCCTCCCTTATATAGCCAAAAAACCAACTTCGAGACCGCCGTCTGGACAGGCGGGACGGCGGTCTGGGTTTGTTTCCGGAGGGAGACGGCGGTCTGGGACGGCGAGACCGCCGTCTGGGTTTTGTTGCACACTGGGACGGCGTTCTGGAGCCTCCAGACGGCGTTCTGGGTTTTTGGGTGCACCGAGACGGCGTTCCGGATGGCCCAGACGGCGTTCCCGAATTTCGGATGATTTTTTTTTTTTTTTTTTGAGGCAACAGAAAATAGGACCTGGTTCAAAAACGTTTTATGCATGCAATGTTTTTGTGTTTGATGTCCTATAATGCCTACTCTTGGTTAAATTTTAAGAAGGATTAACCGACGTGTCTTGATGCGCCGAATGCCCTCCTGTTCGTGTTTTTTGTGTTTGTTGTACCTTGCCGGCTCTTGCTGTGACCGAAGTACTATTTGTTCTTTCTTTTTCTTCTTTCTTTCTCTCTTTCTTTTTTTTTTTTTCTTTTGGTAGAGCACCCTTTGTCATGTAGTACCCCTTTCTCCTCGTCTTAGGGATTTCAATCCTCTTGTTGACTATACGCCTCCACATTCCCAAATTAATTAGTAGAATTTTTGGTGCGAGGGTCAAGAGAAAAGAAGTAAAGAGGTAAATTCAACGGCTTGTGTTTTAGAATGTTTTTTTTTTATTGGAAAGCAGTTTTTGTAAGAAAGGCTGGTTAGGGTTAGGTTTAAGTGTTTAAGCTTTTGTCTAAGCAAACATTTTTCCCTTCCTTTTGTATTTGCGCCTTTTGGTTTTATTTCTATCGCTTTTCACGACTAGTTGGTTTCCCTAGATCGCCCCTTGGGTTTTCGAACTAGGATACTGTGTTTTGGCCCTAACTTTTGTCTAAGTTCCTTCTTTTGGTATTTTTAGGGAATCCTAGCGAACCTTATTTGTGACCCTAACTTTTGCCTAGGCTACCCTTTATTGTTGTTCGGGTGTCCTACGGGTCGACCCTAACTTTTGTGTAGCCCCCTTTTGTGGGTTTCCTACGGGTAATTTGCCCTTTTCTTTGGCCTTTGGCTTCTCCGGGCTTTTTCTTCTTCTTTTTTTGTTTGTTCTTTTTTATAGATTTGTTTTTTTTTGTTCACGGTATTGGCGAAGCATGACTTTCTTATGGATGAGGTGAAGTCTTATTTTTATAAGCTTCTAATCAACTAGCTTGATGGCAATAGCGATGGTAACTGTTGGTTATTTGAATGCGCTTTTTATTCTTCTTCTTTTTTTGTTTACTTAGACAAGATTATTTTACGTGGTCTAGTCAAAAGTAGAGAGAAAAGAAGCAGATAGTAAGAATAATTCTTTATTAATTAATAAGGGAATGTGTGCCCTAAGATGCCCGGGGGTCGGGCTCGCCCCGGGGGATAGTCTCTAACAATCATGGGGTTTACATCCTTTAAATGAAGAAAAAGATTTCCTAATGAGTAAGGTGGCTCTTGACGCTTGCACCCCTCCACTTCGGAAAATCCGCTTGAGTGTGCGGAGGGAGGACTTCCCTTTCCTTCTTTCCGCTTGACCCTTAGTAGGGTCGTATCCTAGGCCATGCTTGCAAGGATTGTCTTTGAATTCCGGAGGTTCCCTCATGCCTTGGGAATCTGCCCCGAGTCCTTGGCCGGGATGGTAACCATGCTTCATCATCATGCGGACTACCTTTGTGTTTTCGGGAAGTCGCTCTATACTCGGCAATTTCGAGCGCTTGAAAAGATGTTTCAAGGGCCTCTTCAGCCGCATCCACGTAGGGCTGAGTGGACGGTCCACTGATCAGGATGTCGTCTTCTGCCTGAACGGTGACCAATTTGTTGTCCACTATGAACTTGACTTTCTGGTGGAGTGTTGAAGGTACTGCCTTAGCGTCATGAATCCAAGGCCTGCCGAGGAGACAACTATATGCTGTAGTAATATCCATGACATGGAAATCGACGTTGAAGATAGTGGGTCCAACTTGGATTGGCAAATTAACTTCTCCCACTACTTCTCGTTTGGATCCGTCGAAGGCTCGAACGATTGTGTTGCTTGGGCGCAGGCGGGTTCCTTGAATAGTTAACTTATCTAATGTGCACTTGGGCATCACGTTCAAGGACGACCCGTTATCCACAATAACTTTGGCGATAAGGTACTCCTTGCATTTAACCGAGATGTGCAAGGGCTTGTTGTGATTTGCCCCCTTGAGGGGAAGTTCTTCTGCCGTGAAGGTGAGGTGATCGTCTGCCGTGATGTGACCAATGATCCTCTCAACCTTTTCTTGGGTTATGGTATGAGGTACATGCGCCTCGCTCAAGACCTTCAGCAGGGCGTTTCGATGCGGTTCCGAGCTCATTATCAGGGATAACAATGTTATCTTTGCAGGTGTGCGATTGAGCTGGTCTATAATGGAATACTCACTCTGCCTTATAAATTGGAGTAATTCCTCTGTCTCCTCCTTGGATTCCTTATTTTCTTTATCTTCTTCGGTCTTTTCTTTATTTTTTCCTTTATTTTGAAGGACATTTTCCTGTGTGTCCTTGGGGGAGTAGATTCTTCCGCTTCTAGTCGTGCCCCAAATACCGGCTATATTCGTTATTTCTTCTTTTATTGGTGAAGATTCCCCATATCTCCACGGTACGACTTTATTTGATTCATAGGGAAAAGGACGTGGCATAAAAAGTCGCACTGGTGTCCTTACCCCTTCTTCTATACTCTTGAGGACCAACGGCAGAGGCTTATTTTCCTCTTGCTTGCAAGTCGGCCGTTGGGGTAATCTTTATTAGGAGCGGCTTTCTCTCCATTCTTCCGATTTGGAAGACACGTTAGTTAACCCTTCCTTTTTATTATCTTATTTATTAGGCGTGCAGGAGGGGAAATTTTAAATATGCAAATGAATGCTTATGTATGCAAGTAGACGACCATTTGAAAAGAAAATTTTATTTATTTCAACAAGAAGGTGTACATTCCCCTATTCTATACTTGCGAAGCGGCTTTTGACAAAAGCGGAAAACTTTGAAGAAACCCACAGGTGGTTCTTGATTCTTCCGTAGTTCCCTCTCGGCTTCCGGACGTGAAAAGAAAGCGCTTCGCTTTGTTTGCGGACCGCCCGGCTCATATCTTCGCTGTACTTTTGAGCCTCCTTGATCTTCGCCTCTTGATGGATAACCAAGGCTTGCGAGTTCATCGAGCTTTTCGGTGACTCGGTTCTTTTCTTGTAATAGCTCGTCATGCCGAGCTAGCCCGTGCCTTTCTTTGGAGCGTAGGTCTAGGAGAGTTATGTTGAGTTTGCGGTTGGCCTCTCTCTCCGACGGATGTCTAACCGAGTTTTGTGGAGCTCTTGCGACAAGTCCTCGACCATCTTGGCCTGCTTTGCGGATTCGGCCTCAAGGTGTGCTCGCTCGGCGGCGATTTCTGGAGATGGCTATCCGAGCTGGTTCTGCGGCTTTGGATGCTCGGATAGCTTGTTCGGTAGAATCGGCACATTGGTCCTTGAGGCGCTCTATTTCATGATCCTTTTTCTTGCCCCTGCCTCTTCGAGCCGTCTATTGTGAGGATAGATTCTTGTTCCTTTTCTTCAAGGGCCCTCATCCGGGCTCCCATAATCTCTATCCTCTTGGTCGGGGCGTCGATTTGAGCCTGCAGCCCTTCATTGTTGGCGCTCGTAGTAGGTGTGGGGGATGGTTGAGCCATCCCTCTTCTTCTCCTTTCCGTCTCGTAGTCACTGGTGGTAGCCACCCGTGCTTTTCCAAGCTCTCTGTCTCCCACGTAGACTGGCTCCTCCCATGCTTTTCTCACAGCAGGTGAGTTGGCGATGGCGCATGGATCTCCAAAGAAGCACAACCCTCCGAGTTCCCCTTTGGAAATAGGAGTTTGGGTCCTCCTGAGTTGCCTCATAGCTACCCCGGGTGAGTAGGCTATGCAACCCCGAGCCCTATCAAGGGTACATTCGGGTAATCTCCACATCGAATGAGTATCGGGCCAGGCCGGAACCACGGGCGGACCCAAGTTACGCTATTGGCGTCTTTCCGTTCCAGCGACGTCCTTCCACTCCGAAGTTAGGCGGCGTTGGAGGGGGATCTTGGAGAAGCTTCTCAAAGGATCGGGGATATCCCCATGTGGCTAGAGGCGTAGAGGTGCGTGATGCTCCACACAAAAAGCAATGAAGAGCGACGACGAAGTGTTTTTCCTTGCTTCCGGTGGCGGAATTCTACCGAAAGCAAGGTATCGGCAAGGATCGCAGGCAAGGGACTCTTCGAGTGCACATCCCGAGCGAAGAAGGCGTCCATAACGGCTCGATCTATAGTGTCGAGGTGAAAAGGGAACAATATGGTTCCGAAGATGATGAGTGCCGGGGTCTTGTTGAAGGCGGTCCACTCGCCCGTTCGCCGGATAGGACAGGTGGTCTTCTAGCATAGAAACTTTCCAACCTTGGTTGCTCCCTTTTCGGATCGGGGTGTTCTCGCCAGGCCGGCAATTGAATGAGGGCGGCGACGAGTGCCACAGGAGTGTATGCCACGTGGCGAACATGGACTCCAGCTGATTTGGGCCATCTTAACATTATCTCATACTCCTCTAGAGTGGGCACCATGTCAAGCTCGCGGAATTCAAAACATCGCAGATTCGAGTTCCGAGAAAAATATTAACGCCCTTAGAAACACCCGATCGACACTAATTCTTAGCAGGTCCAAAATCCGTCCATAGGATTTCTCGAAGTCGGCGCGGACTTCGGGCGACATTGCAACGCTAAGCTGTTCCAACCTCTCAGTATTGAAACGGGGAATGTCTACCTTCTTGGGCTGTCTGCTAGTGCCCTCCATTTTTCTAGAACAAAAATGCATGTTGTGAAGATGATGCTTATTTTGGATGAATGAAAGTGTTTATTTTTCTAATTATCATGTTTTCTTACATGATGTATGGTATTTGCTTATTATTTATTTGAAGAAATAAACTATCTATATGAATGTTTTCATGAATGTAATATTTTGAACCAGGTCTTATTCATGATTCTTGAAATCAAATTTATGATTTATTTTGATTTTTATTGGTTTTTATTTTATAGCCTTTTATCTCTTCTGTCGGAACTGCGTGGCTACTTAGCTTACAAAGAACCTGAAACCAGGCTAGCTAAAAGGCGGATCATCCGAGATAAAATATGGCTTTATGCGAAAAAACAATTGTTTAACGTCCCTTATCTCTTCTGTCGGAACTGCGTGGCTACTTAGCTTACAAAGAAC